TTTGATGAGCATTGATTACTTGGTAGAGCATCTGGTTCGGTCAGTGTTACACAGCAAACTGCCGACGACGAAGAGGGTAGCAGGAAAAAGCAAGAAGAGAATTTCTCTGATGCTGGACATAAACAACATATCCCACGTGGATTTCTGCTTGAATCATACACTTGCAATTTTTCAGGTTGATCTGTGAAACTGCAAAGAAAGAAATGAATAATTCATGTTACCATAATTCCACATATACTATATGTATACACATATACTTCCACATATACTATATGTTCCAACTATAAATAATCTGCTAAAAATACTTGAGAAATAAAAATGGCATATAGTTTATCTCCAAAAAAAATTAAAGATAATTTCAGAGGAAAAAAATATAATTCCGTGGAATTTCTTTTCAGTATATTAATCAAATAACTTAAATGCCTTACACAATATTTCTGGCTTCCTCACGAATCTTCTCACTCACTTTTTTTCTTTTTTTTAGTGAATCAAACGATGCTTCCAACTGCTAAATGCAAATGACTGCTAGTTGAAATGAACAAAAAGAAAAAAAAAAGAAAAAAAAATGAATCAAAGTAAGCCTGAACAAAAAGCAGTCAAAAATATTGCTTGCTCTTTACTTCCAATACCATAAACCACAAACGTTGAGAGAAGGATCATAGAGTTAACCTAAAAATGTGAACGGATGTGTCGAGGACCACTACAATACGATCGCGACGTAAACGTACTGCTCGTACATCACTATTCATCTCTAAGTGAACCACTTCTCTATGATTGATAATATCCCAAATTACCACTGCAAATAAATAACAGTATTTCAGGATTGTTTATCGAGAGGTTCAGAATGTACTCTTCACTGTCTCTTCGACGAAAAACACAGTACTTCCCTCGAAAGATTTGAAAAAACGCATAGTACAGACCTTTATTTGTTGAAAAAGCAGGTGTTACACCTCCGCCAACAAGTGCTACGTAATTGCAGCGAAATAACATCTCCACTGCTCCAATACCACCATTCAGTTTTTCATTAAAATTTTGCTTCAACGGATCGGTGTTATAAATCCGAAAACCATCATCCAATCCACATACAAAGCAGCCAAAATCCTGCAAGCACTGCCAAAACGTAAACCAACAAAACTTGAGCATAGCACATTTTTAGGGGAGAATTTAGAAATGATTCCAACTCGACCGACTTGAATTTGAAGAAAAATAAACAGCAAGTCGACTGCAAACAATTGATAGTTTTCTTTTCTCACAGAACACTTATTAACCATTTTTAAGCAAGAGAAAAAAATGATAACAGTTCATACCTGGTTGAAAGTATTGAATAACACGTGAGATGCCCTTCTCATTAAGATCAAGCGATGTCTACAAGTCGGGGCTTTTCAATGACTGAAAAACACAAGACAGATCTGGTTCTGATGATACTTTCGTGTTCTTATGCTCTACCAAATAAAATGTCTATATCTCTATATATAAACAGACATGTTACTAAAAAAGATTTGAGATTAACAGAAATATTCATTTGGAATTTTTGAAAGCATACAGGAAGCCGAGAGTAGAATAGAGGAAAACCTTATGGAATTCATGGAAGTGGTCCTTTTCAGACTAATTGCAATCACAGAAAACTAAGATTTTCAAATTTTCTCTATGGTACTGTCAGTGTTGCAGAAATATGGTTAAATATAGGAAAGAGACATTCTAGTATCTTAACGAGAAGTCAAGCATCAGCCAGCTGAAACCGTGGAACCAGAAATCCTTACATTCCCACACCAACATTGGACCTCCAGCATAGTCAACAGTAGATCTATTCACATAAGCCGGTCTCTTTGTGGTCCGAGTCGCAATTTATTTTTTGCAGCTGATGAACTCTGCTTCACGTTGTCGCAAGTGTCACGCCTCCTGAAAGTGCATTAGTTGCAAGCCGGATTATAGGTAAAAATATAAACGGATTCTGAACCCAATGGTAGACTTTTCAATAACAACCTCAACAGGCTTTTTCAGCTTAAATGGACGTATGACACATTTTCCATCCTATCTTTCCACTTCACATGAAAGACGAGTTGCTTACAGAAGTAACACTCGTGTTTGTCACTTTCTCCCTCAGCTTTACTTATCTGTTAGTAGCAGACGGATGATCTTTCTTCCTTATATATAGTTTTATTACTACATGCCTTAGTGATGATACAACTATGTAGTGTCATTTGCTGGAGGATGACATAGTTTCATATGTCACATTCGAAAACGCTTTAGTATATGCACCACGGCATCAGAAAGGTTTTTTATACCAGCTAAGGTTAAGGCGAAATAATTATCAAAACCCAGAATTATTAGATATCTGTCATATAACACGTCCAATAATGATAACTTTCCTTACACTACACTATGACCTCTTTCTTAGCACCAAAAAGCCGGATGGGATCAAGTTTTTCATCATGGTCCTATCAGGGTAACTCTGGCGTTGAAAGTTTAACTAATGGCACCACTTTTGATTTTACACCGATCAGTTTGTTGTAGTCTTGGTTGTATTCTTACTTGTTTTTTTTTGGTCATTTCATTTTAAATCTAAAATTAGACGGAATACTGATTAGGAGCAACTATACCTTTTCCAATTCTCTTGATTAAATGCCGGTATCTCGGTATTCATTTCTGTAATTAGTCGAATTCACTATATTTATTGTTACTCGGTTGTTTGCGCAACTACAAGGTAATTTCGTCTTGGCTTTTCTAATGGAATTACACTGACTTATTTATGGCTGCACTACACATGCTCTTTTTTTAAATGAGGTTCAGTTGTTGAAACAAGAAATGAAAGAGTAAGAAGAGAAGCTCGTTTTTTCCTTTTTATTTACATTTAGGATAGAAGAATTCTTCACAGCCTCATTTCGGAAGGAGCAAAGAGCTTTATCCCCTTACAGATAAAAGATACTGTTAACACCTGTTGGGAAAGTTATGTATAATGACTTATGTAGGGACAAAGTTAACTTTTAGAAGAGTCTTTTTGAAATTGGCGGAAGGTGAGCTGATAGAATTTAAAATTTTCGAAGAATTCGAATTCTAATTGACGTAATGTGCATAATGTGTTTGGTAACAAAAATATTTGAATGGATGTGTTCAGGGTGTGTTTAACGTTGCAAGTGGGAGATGCTACTTTCATTCCATATCTTCATGAGGAGAGAATTATTTTCAGTTTCAAAATACATTCATTTTCCACCCAAATATTGAATAGGTTCAAAAACACTTTACAGTTTTCTCTTTTTTTTCCCATTTTCTAATTTCCAATAACTCCTATTTTAGAATGGCCAAAAGTTTGCATATTTGAATCTGCTGCATACTCCTCTTGTCCTGTATTTTAGGTGAGTTTTTTTAAATGACGAGATCATTTGCTTTTTCTGTATTGTGATTCGGTTGGAATCACTTTCATCTCTTTTTTTTTGGAGTGCAGTGAACATTTAACCAAATTGGTTACTATCTTTTCTTGTTCACTTTTTGTTGGGTCTGTAAGGTGCTATGAGTTTTCCTCATGTTTGCAGCTTCCTTCGTCACTTTAGCATGTTCTTATAGACTTACTCAAACCTTTTTGGATTGACCCAAACAGTAAAGAAATCTGCTAATTTACCCTAAAATTCCCTTTCCGTGATGCTTACAAAAGCACCGAGTCTTATTTGTTTTTGTCATTTTAATGAGTTACTTAACAAATATAGCGGCCATTTCTCACTTATTGGAACCGTGCATCTTTTATGTGTCGGGAACGTAAATTATTGAATTCATTGTCACTTTTACATATTTTGTGACATATTTTGAATGCTCTTTAAAACAAATTCCAGAGCCACTTAGGTAATCAAATTTCAAAAGTGAGGAAAAAATTAGCACATTGTAGCTGACTTCAGTCAGTGATAGGCGGAGGAAAGTAGGGAGTCCTTATAGAGTGTAAAATACGGGCATAGCTTCGTTTTTTCCTTACAAGCGAACAAATGGAGTTTAAGGTTGTTTTTTGAAATAGCTTTGGCACATCGGTGCTCCATTCAAGAGAAAAAAAAATTCGTCCGTATCCCTTACCATAGTACTGTTTCTTCGTTTCGGGTCTTTCCCTGCCCTCTTTCACTTCATTATGATTGTTTTTATGAAATTTTTCCTACCCATCTCTTTTGTTAAGGTGTATCCTCTGCCATCTGCTGAGGAGACGCCGTGTTGTACCGTGTATGGTAGATTAATAAGCCATTATTGATGGAACATAAGGTTTTAAATGAATGCGAATGTATAATAACTTGTGTGACTAAATTCATTCGTCTCGCTTTATTTGAACCAGATTGCACAATGATATATTAATGAAAATTTACATTTGCCTTTTCGAATTTAAAGCTATTAACATATCAAAGTAAAAACAGCAAGATGAAGTCACCAGCCAAGATTAAGCTGAAAGCTCAATTTATTTCGATGGTTAATTTATCAGACCGAAGTTTCACTAACTACATCAACTGAAACGAAGCAACAGAAAGTCTGACAGTTGAAACTCTTGTTTTATAATAAATTAGCTAACCGAATTTATGTTCATTTTTTTGTATTGTTTGATGTGGATCATCATTAGCGACTCGAATACAGTATTCCTCGTGAGCGTCCGTTGTCATGTGGCATTGTAGGGCGGAGGTGGCACAACGTTCATTACGTAAAAAAACGAGTACTTTATGAATTCCATTTTACTCGTACAAAAAGAAGCAATTAGAATATTGTCATGCAGAGACATGATTGCGTTCTGATTTTTAATGATTAAATTAGCATAAGCAATTTCGTTAGTTTATGCAGACACGGAACTGACACAAGAAGACAGACACACACATACACAAACAATTTGCACAGAAATATGTTTCAGCAAATTCCTTATAAATATTACGTTGGTTTTTGTCTATTTATGTCAGTAAACATGCTGATGTGCTGTTAATCTATGTGAAAATTATTTCGTCGTATGGATAGATTTCTCTCAAGAAAGTTGTATGGTTAGATCTTATATTTTTCTAATTTACTTCGTTAAACTTTCGCATAAATCCTTTAACGAATTCTGGTCTGTACTAATTCCCACAGTTTAACATATGTTACAATAGCATCACTGCATTATCTATATAAAATTGATAAATAAAAAGCACGTTCAGTATGTAACTGGAACAAAATCAACGTAGGATCATTTTCAGGTAATAAACAATGGTACAAACTTATCAGAGTCCGGTTCGTGTATACAAATATCCATTCGAAATTGTGATGGCAGTTAGCTTTTGTTATGGGATCATTTTTTTTTTTTTTTTTTTGAGCACTGCACAACTGTCTTGTTCCTTGTGTTATTTCATTTGCTGCTAAGCACAAAATACTGTGAGAGTTTTTCGAATTGTTTATAAAAAGTTCTATGGCATAAACATAGCTTTCTTCGAACACAGCTTGGTGTGCTGAAATATATTTATTCAGGCATATGAAAAACGTTTTCCAACTTGCCCCCAAATTCCGATCTTTGTTGGCTCTGAAGTCACATATGAATATCATTCGGAAGATGGTGCAGAAGAAGTAATTGAGCGCAAATGTCAGCTGAATATCGATGCACCATATCTTGTCAAAAAAGTAATTCTATCTTGGAATTATTCAATAAAATTAGATCCTTACTTACTTTTGGGGTAGTTATATTCACAACTTCCAAAACTTCATGATTAATTTTTTCCAGATAGCTGGTGTTGATTATGTTTATTTCACACAGAAAAATTCGCTTAATCGCAGAGAGCGTACTCTTATCATTGAAGCAAAGAATATTTCTTTTGCGACCAGAATCGATGTCAAAGAAACTTGTTTTTACTACGTACGTGTTTCGCTTCTGTTTATCACAACGTTCCTGTTATGTTGCACATCTGAAGTATTTTTCAGTTACTAGATATTTTCATTAAGTTCTAACTACTGAATTATTACTGGATCATGCCCTAAATTTTCATGTTCAGTTTACTTTTTAAAAATGGCTACGTAAAGCTTTTATTTTGGCTGTAGTATAGTCGAATTATGAAAATGTGTACAGTGTAGTGAGTCGTTTCAAGGTTCATCCTGAAAACAATGAATGGACTTGTTTTGAACAAAGTGGCTCGTTGGATGTTAAATCATTCTTTGGTTTTGAATCTACGGTTGAGAAATTGGCAGTGAAGCAGTATGCAGCTAATCTTGCGAAGGTATCACTTCTGAAATTTAAGTGAAATATTTTAGAAAAGCTTGAGATTTCTATTTCACTCCCAGCTCAGATGAACGCCGTCTACGGAAAATCGTTTTGCAGGGAAAAGAGGTGCTGGAATATTTCATTAATGAACTGGTCAAAAGTGGTGTAACGTTTATTCCACCCTACAGTGATGCAACGGAATCAGCGGCTGATTCTGCGATTGATGTTTCGCGACCTATTGATGAGGAAAAAGAGAAGGATAAAGTTGACTCGAAAATAGAAGAACAACGTAGATCATCTTCTCATAGCCGAAGGT